CTACGATTTTATTCCATTTATTAATCGCTACGGCAACTAATAATCCATGTACCCACTCCATATGTGTCCCTCTGCTTTTTCTGACAAAAAAGCTTGTGCACAAAAAACGCAAATTACCGTCGAATTCTGTAACGTTTTTCAGCCGAAGTCATTTGTTATTTGCTTCTCATTTGAATTTTCCGACGTGTTTTTCACCAAATTTGTGGATATATTTGAACGCTGATCGTGTGTTTTGTTTGGGGAACTTGAAATTTTAGTGTGAATGTGAAATTTAACCTCGATTTTGGTTAAAATATTTATAAATGTTTGGTGTTTTCATCCTGAGAAATGCCAAGGTGCAAATTTGGATGTGAATAAATTACCTCTGAGAAAGTCTTTGCACAAAACATTTTGATTTTGTTGCTGCTGTTTCCAACCGACTGTTTTACTCATGATACATTTAAAGGTGCATTGTGGAACTTTTCTGGTGGAGGGTCCGTCCAGTGCTTGTCCACATGTTCCCGGTGTTCCTCTCCCTACTTTCCTCTCTGTCTGTCTCCTCCTCTCTCACAAACTCTCTCGCTTTCTCTTTCTTCTTCGTCTTTCTCGCTTTCATTTTCTCTCTTCCACTCTGTCTCTCCTTCTCTCTCTCACGTCTCTCTCTTTCCCCCTCTCCTCTCTCTCACCACCCCATCTTTCTTTCTCTCCCTTCTCTTGTTCTCTCTCGCTTTGCACCCCCTTCTCTCTATCCTTTTCTCCTGCCTCTCTCTTTTACTCCTCTCTCTCACTCTCTTTTTATCCTCTCTCTTTCTATACTCTCTCTCTCTTTCTATCATCTCTCTCTCTTTCTATCCTCTCTCTCTCTCTCTCTTTCTGTCCTCTCTCTCTCTCTCTTTCTATCCTCTCTCTCTCTTTCTATCCTCTCTCTCTTTCTATCCTCTCTCTCTTTCTATCCTCTCTCTTTCTATCCTCTCTCTCTCTTTCTATCTCTCTCTCTCTCTTTCTATCCTCTCTCTCTCTTTCTATCCTCTCTCTCTCTCTTTCTATCCTCTCTCTCTCTTCTCTTTCTATCCTCTCTCTCTCTTTCTATCCTCTCTCTCTCTTTCTATCCTCTCTCTCTCTCTTTCTATCCTCTCTCTCTCTCTCTCTATCCTCTCTCTCTCTCTCTCTCTCTATCCTCTCTCTCTCTCTCTATCCTCTCTCTCTTTCTATCCTCTCTCTCTCTCTCTCTCTCTATCATCTCTCTCTTCTATCTCTCTCTATCCTCTCTCTCTCTTCCTCTCTCTCTCTCTCTCTCTCTTCTCTCTCTTCTCTCTCTCTCTATCTCTCTCTCTCTCTTTTCTATCCTCTCTCTCTATCTCTCTCTATCCTCTCTCTTCTATCCTCTCCTCTCTCTCTTCTCTATTCTCTCTCTCTATCTCTCTATCTCTCTCTCTCTTTCTCTCTCTCTCTCTCTCTCTCTCTCTCTATCCTCTCTCTCTCTTTCTATCTCTCTCTCTCTCTCTTTCTATCCTCTCTCTCTCTTTCTATCCTCTCTCTCTCTCTATGTCCTCTCTCTCTCTCTTTCTATCCTCTCTCTCTCTTTCTATCCTCTCTCTCTCTTTCTATCCTCTCTCTCTTTCTATCCTCTCTCTCTCTTCTCTCTCTCTATCCTCTCTCTCTCTTCTCTCTCTCTCATCCTCTCTCTCTCTCTTCTATCCTCTCTCTCTCTTCTATCCTCTCCTCTTTCTTCTCTATCCTCTCTCTCTCTCTCTCTCTCTCTCTTTCTATCCCCTCTCTCTCTCTCCTCTCTCTCTCTTTCTATCCTCTCTCTCTTGCTCTCTTTCTATCCCCCCTCTCTCTCTCTTGCTCTCTCCTTCTTTCTCTCTCATCTCTCTCCTCTCTCTCTCGCTTACACTCTCTGCTCTCTCGCTCTTTATATCCTCTCTCTTTTTCTACCCCTCTCTCTCTCTCTCACTCTCCTCTCTCACTCTTTCTATCCTCTCTCTCACTCTCTTTTTATCCTCCTTCTCTCTCTCTCTCTCTCTCTCTCTCTCTCTCTCTCTCTCTCACCAAACCAGACCAAACCAGACCAAGTTCCAGGTCAGATCTGTGGAGAGGCGACCCCGCTCACAGTCAGAATGTCTGTTTGTCTCTGTATTTTTGAGCTCTAAAACCACCTGTAACTGAACAAACATAACATCGAGCTGTTTAATGTCACACTGCGGAACATTCCAGACAGATCAATGACATATCTATAGAAACGAGGAGGTATCGGACCCTTTAAAAGTCTCCACAGATCTAAACGATTACATTAAACGTCCATGATGTGATCGTGGTGCATTGACCTCGGCTGGAGAGGAGTTTAAACGCACTGTGCAGTAAATAGTCGTAAACAAAACATTAGTCCACAGATTAGAGCAATACTTATGGATTTTGAGACCAGCAGAGACAGAAACGATGGTGTCTCTGTTGCGAGTTAGACTCCCTTTTATTGTTTTTGTCTCGCTCATTTAAACAACCCGTATTATTTTATTTTCTGATCTGTTATAATAATGTTTCCTCGTCACAAACAGACCTGGAGTTGTGTTTTTTTTTTTTTTTTTTTTCATGTTTAACACACAATCGTTGCAGAATTAGGCTGAGTTCTTCTTGTTTCCACCTGGTGATGTCATGTGGTAATACAGGAAGTGCTCCATTGTGTTTTTAAACTCCATATATCCAGTGGTGTAGTGGGGATTTTTTTAAGTGATCCACCCCCGAAAACATTAACGCTATTCATAATCACCTACAGAACATAAATCATAGGCTACAAGACATGAACCAGGACTAAACCAGGACTAAACCTGAACTAAACCAGGACTAAACCAGGACTAAACCAGGACTAAACCAGGACTAAACCAGGACTAAACCAGACTAAACCACTAACCAGGTCTAAACCAGGACTAAACCAGGACTAAAACCAGGACCAGGACTAAACCAGGACTAAAACCAGACTAAACCAGGACTAAACCAGGACTAAACCAGGACTAAACCAGGACTAAACCAGGACTAAACCAGACTAAACCAGGACTAAACCACCAGGACTAAACCAGGACTAAACCAGACTAAACCAGAGACTAAACCAGGACTAAACTAAACCAGGTCTAAACCAGGACTAAACCAGGACTAAACAGGACTAAAACCAGGTCTAAACTAAACCAGGACTAAACCAGGACTAAACCAGGACTAAACCAGGACTAAAACCAGGACTAGACTAAACCAGGACTAAACCAGGACTAAACCAGGACTAAACCAGAAACCATAAACCAGGACTAAAACCAGGACTAAACCAGGACTAAACCTAGGACTAAACCAGGACTAAACCAGGACTAAACTAGGACTAAACCAGGACAACCAGGTCTAAACCAGGACTAAAAACCAGACTAAACCAGACTAAACCAGACTAAACCAGGACTAAACCAACTAAAGGACTAAAACCAGACTAAACCAGACTAACTAAACCAGTACTAAATCAGGACTAAAACCAGGACTAAACCAGGACTGAACCAGGTCTAAACCAGGACTAAAACCATGACTAAAGCAGGACTGAACCAGGTTTAAACCATGTCTAAACTAATACTAAACCATGTCTAAATTAGGACTAAACCATGTTAAATTAGGACTAAACCAGACTAAACCAGGACTGAACCAGACTAAACCAGGACTGAACAGGACTAAACCAGAACTGAACCAGGTTTAAACTATGTCTAAACCAGGACTAAACTAGAAATGAAACAGAACTGAACCAGGACTAAACCAGGTCTAAACCAGGACTAATCTTGGACTTGAGAGAGAGAGAGAGAGAATCCCAGGTCTCCGAGAATCCAGAGTCTCCACAAGGCGCAATCAGGCGACGGCTGCTCTTAGTCCTGTGGGGCATGAGTTCTGCACCAGTCCTTTCTCCTGTGGTCAAACGGTTTAGTCCTGGTTCAGTCCTGGTTCAGTCCTGGTTTAGATCTGTTTCTGTCCTGGTTTAGTCCTGGTCCCTCATGTCTCAGGTCACTACAGGACAGTTCTGCAGATTTCATGAGTCTATGCCAGTTGTTTTCACCATTTCCAATAGCTGCAGTTTAACATTTAAGTTGTGGCTATTTTATATTTGTTTAGTTTTTTTGTTTTTATATCTGAGAGAAGTGGGTGGATGGCATACCCTAGCATACCATGCTCACTACACCCCTGCATACATCAGTAAAGATTAACAATTCTAGTAAACAAAAGGTAAAAGGAGCTGTTAACCTGAAAACTACACCAAACAAACTAATCACCAGGTTTAACAGAGGATTTTGAGCTTTAACGATTTAGAATTACGCAAATGAGTGAAGAGAAACAAAACACAAGAGTCAGTTTTGCAAAATATAGGACCTTTAATGTTAATATTCCTAACAAAAAACATACAAAATAGTGTATATGGTTAAATAGATAAAGATAAATTGAACAAATGCCATACTGTGGGGTATTCAAGACAAAGCAATAGCGTCTCCATGGCGACAGACAGGTAGTTTTAACACAACATTACGGCGCAATAGCTCGATAATGGCGTGGTAATATTGTAGTAATGAAGGGATAATGGGGGATGCATTTATTTCTCCAGCTTGTTTACAAATTTATAAGCTGGTAATTTAGTTTAACTCTTTTCACTGTTTAAAGGCGCACTGCGTAATATTTCTAAGGGAGCGTCCATTACCTGGTTATCTCCATGAAAATCTTATTGCTTTGTCTAGAATGTATAAACCTGTGGATCACAAGGGAGACAACTGCTGTTTTTTTGAGCAATAGACTCGCTCATAATGAATAAATGCTGTGTTTAATGCCACACCATGGAACTTTCCAGGCCAAGCAATAACATATCTCCATGGAGACAAGAAAGTAGCCGATCCTCCACCAGAAAAGTGGTGCAGTTCACCTTTAAATGAACTTAATTTAGAGTTATTTGGTGTAGTACATCCGAGAATAAGGACTTTATCTTCTGACTCATGGTTTATTGGACGATGTTGTTTCAGATCCGGTGGACGAAGACGGCGGGCAGCGTGTCGGACCGCTTCCAGGACTCGAGCGTGTTCAACGAGACGCTCCACATCGCAAAGATCCTCCGAACCCAAGGGGGGCGCTACTACTGCAAGGCTGAGAACGGACTGGGCTCTCCGGCCATCAAGTCCATCAGAGTGGACGTCTACTGTGAGTGCCCACATGATTACTTAAATATATGTAAACACGCAACCGGCCCATGTGACCTGTGAGAGTTTCTGCTTCTAACACTTAACCACTGATCATATTATGCCCCGCCCACTTTTACCTCTAAATACGAGTAAACTGTGCTGTCTTTGTGGTGGCTAAATGGAAATCCTCCAATTTTAACACTTCCAGAATGACATGTTTTACATAACCGCGCAACATGTTCTAACCATAAAATATAGAAACTTACTTTTTTATCTTGAATAGCTGACAGTTTTGGCTTTCAATATCCTACATCACACACACACTGCATGATAACTTTGGGAAAACGAGTGTCCAATAGAATCTTTATTTTTGGCCAAACACATGCACTCCATTTCATTTTGATTGACCCAAACTTTGCCAAAGAGTGTAGTGAGTCAAGATCGTCGATTGCTCTGAGAGTCTGTGTTTGTTTCAATTGAAAAAGACGCTCTATGTGCAGTTATTTCTCAAATAAATCGCAAATTATGCATCTTGGTTTGCGCAATTGTGCATCCTTTGCTATTTTTATTTGAAAGGTTTATTTCACTCAAAATGTACAAATCCAAATATAATAAACCCCATGGAAATGCAGGAATGTACATGATGTCGCTTTGTGCAGGAGCTGTTTCCTTGACTGGCACCAGGAAAGTAACTGGACAATTGCACTTTTTTTTTTTTTGGTTTTTGATTGCAATAAGGTTATTTTTAGTTTACTTACAGACTTGATATTTTGCATTTTAGTAGCTAAGACCCTAAATTAAGCATGTTTATGTCCAAAAAGTTGTTTATACATGTTTGCTGTGCGGTTTGTATGAAAGAGTGTGAATTTAATTTTCTTTGTATTTGTATTTCCAGTCCTATAGCTTTTATTACAGCCATATGACAGCAGCAGACTGTGAAATAACAGTTTGTAGTGCCTGTAGCATACATGTTTTCATACATAATTCACCTCTAACTAGAGACACATTAGTTACATGCTTACCTATGTTCAGTGTTCAGTTTTCAGGTTTGTGTTTTAAATACAGTGTAGTCGCACGGTCCCTTTAAGACCCGTTGACGTTTGAGGCAGGCTGTTCTGTTTACCGTTATTAGCCGTTTTGTTGTGGTTGTGAGTTCAGTTAATAAAGCGACACACGACTTTCTGAGTCTGAAATGTGAGAACTTGTCGGCTCCTTTTTATTAAGCACAACTTCCACAAGGTTGTACTGAAAAGAAATTTAGGGGGTAAAAGGGGGAGTTTTTGCACAAATAAGTAGTCAAAAGAGTTTGTGGAGTAAGGGCACACACACGTATTTTAGGGGGTGTTCCTGGTTAGGTCCTGGTTTGGTTCCTGGTTTTAGTCCATATGTCGACTTCCGACTCTCTTTTTATCTTACACATAACATATAGCAATACAACATACTGCATATTGCCCCCCCTCTTTCTGTAACTGCTGCAGTGAGCCTCGTCATTTTGATCGTCAATTGTTCCTATACACGCATCAAGAATCTCGGACTTCCGGTCATTGCGGAATGCATACTGGGAAGGATTTTCCGAAAAAGTGAGCATCAAACCGCCATGTTTGATTTTACAGTGGGATGTGTCTATTGACAAAGCTGATCTTTTCAAGTCTTTTGAACCATATCACTTTTGTTTCTGGTTCTGATATTGTCATATTTTAGTTTTGGGATTTGGACATCGTTAACTGTGTGGTTGTTGGATCCTAACAGTGGAAAACAGCTCAAGAAATGTGTTTGCGAACTCCATAACTGCAAAAGGGAATCAGATCTGTGTGACTGTAAACTTCCATTTAAACTGTTTCCCTTCCCAACGGAATTGAAAAATAGTGAAAGGTGAAGGCGATGGGCAGGATTGATCCACGGGAAAGACAAAAAAGGAAACCTTTGACTGCCTAAATCATCCCGAGTTTGCAGCAAACATTTTGTATGTGGAGCACCATCAAAGTAAAATCCTGATCCCTCACTCATTCACTGGTTATGAATTTAAAAAGTCAACGCCGAAGCAAAAGGCCCCAGCTGTTCTCCAAGAAACACCTTCCACTGCAAAGAGACCAAGACGTGATGTTGCAGTAAAACCACAAGAACAAGAAAGTGCAGCTCAGCCTGTTTGTCTTCTGTACATCTCACTTAACAATTGGGATCCCTAAGTGATGGAGCTCCACATACAAAATGTTCGTTGCAAAATCGGTATGATTTAGGCAGTCAAGTTTTTCATCTTTCCCGTGGATCAGTCCTGCCCATCGCCTTCGCCTTTCACTATTTTTCAATTCCGTTGGGAAGGGAAACAGTTTAAATGGAGGTTTACAGTCACACACATCTGATTCCCTTTTGCATTTATGGAGTTCGCAAACACATTTCTCGAGCCGTTTTCCGCCGTTAGGATCCAACAACCACACAATTAACTATGTCCGAATCCCAAAACTAAAATATGACAATATCAGAACCAGAAACAAAAGTGATATGGTTCAAAAGAGTTGAAAAGATCGACTTTGTCAAAAGACACACCCCACTGTAAAATCAAACATGGAGGTTTGATGCTCACTTTTTCAGAAAATCCTTCCCAGTATGCGTCGTGCAATGACCTGAAGTCCGAGATTCTTGATACGTGTATTCACCCACTCTCCACGATCTTGCTGTTTTGATTTTGCTATTTTGTCCGTGAATAAATTCCTGATACGGATCTTTATTTGACTGGGGCTGAACTCTATGGGTGACGTCACACTCACTTAGTCCACTTGTTTCTCCAGCCCATGACACACACAGAGCCCTGCCTGAGTGCGTTTAAAGTACCACACTGATTCTGTGGCCTGTGGGAGATGGAGAGTCAGAGCTATTTTGACTAACCACATGATTGAACACTTATTTCCTCCTTGTAATCACTGATGCTGCTTTAAAAAGAAAATGAGCCGCCAATTGTGTGAGCGGCGAGTCTGGGGGCTGAACACATCGAGTAACCTCCATTTGGGTCCAATGGATTCAAAATTGTAATGATACCTCAGCCTAATGTCACGAAAACAAAAATGGGAGCGACTTTACAAAAAATATAGCACATGCCTTAAAGCTGTAGAATATTTTGATTAGGTGATCCTCCAAGTTGTATTCTCACGTATCTCCACTAGAGGCTGCCTATGTTACTGCTGTCTGAGAGTGAAAAACAAACAAAGAAACTTAAAGATGGTCAATTTAAAGTATTTTTGATGACTCAAGTTTTTGGTTCAAGTTGTAAATATAAATTATAGTTATACAGTTATAGTTTGTGAAGTTATGTGTTTTTAATCTGGTACATAAGGGTGAGTTGCTGCACAGTCGTAGGGAGTATTATCTCTTACATAAAGGTGAGTTGTTGTACACTTGTAGGGAGTATTATCTGTTACATAAGGGTGAGTTGTACAGTTGTAGGGAGTATTATCTGTTACATAAGGTGAGTTGTACAGTTGTAGGGAGTATTATCTGTTACATAAGGTGAGTTGTACAGTTGTAGGGAGTATTATTGTTACATAAGGGGAGTTTGTACAGTTGTAGGGAGTATTATCTGTTACATAAGGGTGAGTTGTTGTACAGTTGTAGGGAGTATTATCTGTTACATAAGGGTGAGTTGTACAGTTGTAGGGAGTATTATCTGTTACATAAGGGTGAGTTGTACAGTTGTAGGGAGTATTATCTGTTACATAAGGGTGATTTGTACAGTTGTAGGGAGTATTATCTGTTACATAAGGTGAGTTGTACAGTTTGTAGGGAGTATTATCTGTTACATAAGGTGAGTTGTACAGTTGTAGGGAGTTTATCTGTTACATATTTGTAGGGAGTATTATCTGTTAGGGTGAGTTGTACAGTTGTAGGGAGTATTATCTGTTACATAAGGTGAGTTGTACAGTTGTAGGGAGTATTATCTGTTACATAAGGTGAGCTGTACAGTTGTAGGGAGTATTATCTGTTACATAAGGGTGAGTTGTACAGTTGTAGGGAGTATTATCTGTTACATAAGGGTGAGTTTGTACAGTTGTAGGGAGTATTATCTGTTACATAAGGGTGAGTTGTACAGTTGTAGGGAGTATTATCTGTTACATAAGGTGAGTTGTACAGTTGTAGGGAGTATTATCTGTTACATAAGGGTGAGTTGTAACAGTTGTAGGGAGTATTATCTGTTACATAAGGGTGAGTTGTACAGTTGTAGGGAGTATTATCTGTTACATAAGGGTGAGTTGTACAGTTGTAGGGAGTATTATCTGTTACATAAGGGTGAGTTGTACAGTTGTAGGGAGTATTATCTGTTACATAAGGTGAGTTGTACAGTTGTAGGGAGTATTATCTGTTACATAAGGGTGATTTGTACAGTTGTAGGGAGTATTATCTGTTACATAAGGGTGAGTTGTACAGTTGTAGGGAGTATTATCTGTTACATAAGGGTGAGTTTTACAGTTGTAGTTTTTGGTGGAATAATACCAGTTGTAAATATAAATTATAGTTCTATAGTTACAGTTTGTAAAGTTATGTGTTTTTAAACTAGCCTCTCACGCGTGCTGTTCTTTCCGCTGTATCGTAACCTGAGATCCAAATTTAGCGTCTGTAAAAGTTAGCGAGAGGGTTATCAGCGCAGACCTGAGCCTCTGGAGAATGCTAATTAAGCTAACGGACTTTATCATCCTGACACACACATCACCTGCACTATTTTTGTAGTCTCACAAACAAAGATACTGCATTACAAAAAATAATGGATTAAGACATAATGTGTCTGTTACGGGCTCAAGGTGTAGAGTTAGTTGATGTTGGATAAGTTTAAAGCCATATTGTGGAACACTTCAGGCAAAATAATAACGTTTCATTGGAGACCAGTAGCAGTAACTGTTATGGTGGAGTGTTACTGTTTTACCCACAGTGTTCTGCAGTATGGCATTAAACTCATCTGTATCCATGGAGACAAGCAGGTGACACCACAAGGCCAAGGTGAACCTGCTCACTGTAAAAATACATGTTTTTCAA